AACTTACGTCTTAAACTAATTTGTAATGTTGACAAAAAACGGTGGTTATTTGGCATGATTTAGAAACACTTCAACATTTTGTTAAATGATTATAGAGAAATAGTTGTTTGTGTGCTAATTGGTAAAGTAGATATTGTTATAAGAATAACGGGGCGATATCGTCACAAGTTGACTAAGCCCCAATAAAAAATTTAAAATAATAAAATAAACCACATACAACACTAGGCATGTTTAAATGTGTTCCTAGATAATACACATTTAATGTGATGTAAATGTTAGGTAGTGGAAAAAACTCTTTATAAATTTTCACCACGGCGGTGCGCTGGTTCTATATTTTGGAAGTTTCTGCGGGGGCGAGTATTACTAAAAGGTGAACAAAAAAGGGGGGCTGAAGCTGGGTAATGAGAAGTAGACGTACCTGCCAACCCGTCGTTGGCTTCTTACAGGCTACAGAATACTAGGAACTGGACGTCGCGTAATGGCGGCGGCCGGCGTGACGACTTGACGACTTGACGGCATTCTTCTAAATGGTTTTTTTCACAAAACTGGTATACCACCACTCGAGTTCTACGAGTATGGCCGTCAGTAACTGTAAAAGTTCGTAATTTAATAGAAAAGTAGTAAAAGTCCATAAAAATATTGATATGAAAAAACAAGCGGCGTGTGCGTGTACAATGCACGCGATGCGGTCGGCGATAGTCTTCTTTTTTATTTTTGTTCTTTTTCTTTTTTGTTTTTTTTTTATAACTGGCCATGCGATAGGTTTTATGTCTACTCTCATTAAAAAAAGAACCATTAGGGTAATTTAGATATGAGTTTACCGAAATTAAAATATAATACATTCTACTGAATTTAAAGTTTTTCAGTAAGCAAAACGTAAAAAAGTTTGAATTTTTATTACTGAACGTCTTAGATTTTTAAATTTACATGGCGAAAGTTTGCTTCAGCAAGTGTTAAAACTAAGAAACTTTTTTTTTAATGTCTAGACTTGAAGCTTTCTATGTATTAATTTGACCATCTACAAGTTGAACGAAGCTTTTAAGACCTTCTTAAATAATTTTATTCGTGCCTTAAATTTTCTTACGCCGAAACTTTGAAGCCTATTCAAAATCATTCCTTTCTAAAGTAATTTTAGTTGAGACAAAACGTAAATTACTTTGTATTGTCTTTAGCGCAGATTTGAAATTTTTTTGTTGAAAATAAAAAGGGGACTAAAAATGGCACTTTATTTATCTTTCATTCAGGTTACGAGCTACTTTTTTATAACTTAAGACGTAGTGGTAGAACTAGCTCATTAGTACACCTGATCTAAAGCTTTTGCCGCAGTCCTGTTACTGGTGGCAGGACCTCTTGTGAGTCCGCGCGGGTAGGTACCACCACTCCGCCTATTTCCACCGTGAAGCAGTAATGCGTTTCGGTTCGAAGGGTGGGGTAGCCGTTGTAACTATACTAAGACCTTAGAACTTAAGGGGCTCGAGGTGGGTGGCGCATTGACGTTGTAGATGTCTATGGGCTCCAGTAACCACTTAACACCAGGTGGGCTGTGAGCTCGTCCACCCATCTAAGCAATAAATAAAAAAAATGCTTTGGTTTGAAGGCAGAGTAAACAATGCCATGAAAACTTAGGCAAACATGTTTCAAAATGAGTTTATTCATCTTGTGTTATCTACGAGGTTTTGCACCTACTAAGCGTTTTGGTAGGTTGTGAGCTCGTCTGGGCGAAGATTGGACGTTATGTGAGAGAGTGCAAGGTAAGTAGTTTGGCGGTGAACGCTCAGTTTGGTCGTTTGTCGTCTATTTTATGTACATATGTGAAAGGTCGGTTCGTTCTTTGACGTCTGGTTCGTGTACATTTTTTAGGAAGACATTGAAAATACTCACAGCTGCTAGTCACGTCCGCCCTCGTTTCATTTCTTTTCTTTTGTTTCTTTTCGAGTCACCTGTCAAGTCTCTGTCTTACTCTATGTCCAGTTATTGTAGGTCGTATGTCCTGTCAAAGAAGTTACACGCTACGACAGGTGGGTAAGACTATAAAACATCCTTGGGCCGGCGGTCTGCTTCCAACATCTGCACATACCCCATGCGGCCCCTAGGCGCGGAAACCTCGTATGAGGTTCGGCCTCATGCTCGAAAAAAGAATGTTACACCTTGTGCACTAAAAGCTCTCTAAAACACAAAGATTCCTAGTCACAGCTTATGACATGGGGGTTCCGATTTCAAGGACGAGGTGGAGGTTTTGATTAATAAATTGAAGCTTCAATCTGCTGTCTTAAAGCCGACGTTCCATGGGCTTCAGGAAGTGCTTAACATGACAATGTCAATGTCGTCTAACAATCTAATATAACGAAAGAAAAATATTAAAGTCAGTATTCCCAACGCGGAGAGAGCGGTTGAAAGCAACACAAAAAGAAGCAATGAAAATTTTACGAGTACATTTCAAAATAGTACACACAGAAGCGTGGTTATTTACGCGTATTCTTCCAGATTGCTCCTCCTACGTCAGGGAAATGGAACATTTTCTTTGAATTAAAGATATTTTCATTCAACTACAATGTCTTCGTAACCTTGTAAGTGACAAAAGTATAATATTAAGACTAGGGTTGCTATTTCATCGAACGTACAACCACATGCTTGGAATCATGGGCCGTTGATGTTTTTATGTCGTACGTGTTCGTGTGAAGAACTGTTTTAATTGTACTTTTATCTTTTATTATGCTACCAACGCAGTGTTTAGTGGCGATGACAGCTTCACGAGGAGATATCTTTAATTTATGACGACTCGCTTGGGGTGCCTCATTTGTATGGGTGTAATGTTTAACTCATAATATTTAGGAGCTATAATTTTTTAAAGACGAACTTAGTTTTTTGTTGATTAGTCGTGCGACATTGTGATTCAGCAGCAAATCAGCTGTGTTTTTTTAATTTTTTGGGATGTTTTCCCGTCACCCTATTTATCACATGAATTCCATTGAAGCTAAAATCCACTACGGCAACCACACGAAAATACTCTGAACGATACTACAGAATTTCTGAAGGAAGCTAATTGATTTTGAATTCTACAATGAACTTACGGAGAAAACAATATGAGATGAAGTTATTACAGATTCCGACTTCTTGTAAAGTCATTTTAGAATAATAATAATAATATATTCTGCGTTCGTTAAAGCTGGTTCTATTTTTTTAATTCAAAAATAGATTTTTTACAGAATATACACAGTATAGTGTTTTTATTGAAAATCAGAGTTGCTTTATTCGAGATTTTTATACGCTTGCGTCATCTATTATGTCAGTAAATTGTCAATCGACTGTTTCTTTCGTATCATTTTTCTTTGAGATAGCCGGCCCGTGACTTCACAAGCTTTCATTTATAAGGTGCCTAAAGTATTAAAAATGTTCAATGTTGGTATAGGTGGCATACATCTGCCACGTGAATAATGATAAAAACGTGGCTAAGCTAAATTAAAATGTAATTATCGTGCTGTGCATATTCAGGTATCAGAATTAACACTAATATTATAAGAAATTGTTTCAAAAACCTATAGGTACTATAATATCACTTTTGAAATTGTTGATTTTCAAAAAAAAACAAAAAAAATGTGCCTAATCGGACCGCAATGTATATATAAAATTTTTGCCCAAATTTGCGGATCAAGGCTAAATACAATTTGTGGTGACGACATTTTGGAGCCAAAAAAGGACGAGCTATAAGCATACAATTAATATACAACGATAAGTTAAATATGATATCCACGCACTCAGATTGTTGTTTGACTGACCGGATGATATAGTGGTTAGCGGCCCTAACTACTTGACCAAGGGTCGTAGGTTCGTTTGTAAATACAAATGTATATCTTGTTCCCCTAGTACAGTGAATTTTAATTAAAATCCAGCTGGGCCTTTTTTTTCGGGCCTGTGGCCAAATACTCTCCGTGTCTTGGGGGCGCGCGGGGTATGTGGGACTTGACGATCTGCAGATGTTGGGAGCAGACCGCTGGCCCAAGGATATTTTGTGGCCCTACTGCACCAAACGACTCCCCTGAACTTTTACATTCGACGTCCGATCTCTGTCCGGGGTTAGAACCGAATGGGTTCTAGGGAGTAAGGGGGTTCCCGCGGTCAACACTACAACCAGATCCGCGGCGCCACCCCGAGGACGCCCGACCGACGGGTCGTGATGGCGATATTAGTTCCCGGTTATTTATCTGTAGCTTGATATGAAAAAAAAAATCTAACTTCATTGAAGGTTTAAGGTTTAATAAAAAAATTATAATAATAATATTAAGATTTCTCAAAGGTAGAATTATTAATTGATCCTTTTTATATTGACGAGCATTTTTTTATTTTTTTATTGCTTGGATAGGTGGATGAGCTCACAGCCCATCTGGTGTTAAGTGGTTACTGGAGCTCATAGACATCTACAACGTAAATGCGCCACCCACCTTGAGATATAAGTTTTAAGGTCTCAGTATAGTTACAACGGCTGCCATACCCTTCAAACCGAAACGCATTATTGCTTCACAGCAGAAATAGACATCTGCCGTGAAGAATTTCCGTTGTAGATGTCTTTGGGCTCCAGTAACCACTTAACACCAGGTGGGCTGTGAGTTCGTCCACCCATCTAAGCAATAAATTAAAAAAAAACCTACCCGCGTGGACTCACAAGAGGTCCTACCACCAGTAAACTACTTCCATTAAACTACTTTTTAAATTGTCTTATTAGTCGATTCTATTCGTCTAATGTTAAATAGAAGAAAAATGATGCACGTTATGAATAATTATTATACGTATGAGATTGTCGTGCAAGAGAGATGGGGATATTATGTTCTCTCTACGCACTTCTTTATTTTTTAATAGTTTCCTTTTTAATGTTTTTCCTTTAATTGACAACTTTTTGATTATTAATTACAACTAATAAATTAATAGTAAATGCTTACAATCACCGGAAATTGTATATTGTCTTAAGATGGTAATAAAACTTAAAAAATTACTGTTTTTTTTTATTTGAATTCACAGAAAAGTCAGTTCTCTAATTCAGTAGCTGGGACGTTCTTGAAAAAGTTTTTGACGTTTTCAACAATCTTAGTGGCTATAGCGTTCACTATTGGAGATCCTACTTCGAGGATGATCTCGTTTCCGCTGGTCGCTATTAATTGTTTAGCTGCTTGGGCTGTAAAATAAAATTTTGCAATTGAAATACAAAAAAAAATAAAAGAAAAAAATACGGTCTCTTTTTGTTTGTTTGGTCAATGTTAACGATAAATGGTTTTTTTTTTGAAAATTGTTATTTTATTTTCCTAATAGCATTAACAAAACAACGGCCTAAAATGAAATACAAAAAATTAGAGGTTTATTATTGATAACAGCATCGTTGATAGTTTCGTCTAACCCACTTGCTGAACTTGAGCAGAAAATCAGAAATGAGTTTTGTTTAATTTCACATTTTAAATAACAATGGACTAAAACTCGAAATCAACTTCAATAGCTTCCTCGCTCTTCTTCAAAGTTTTTCAAGCCGAAAACCTATTAATAAAGTTCGCATTTAATATATCTATACTAATATATAAATCTACAGTGGTTTTTACGGATGTTCCGTTATAACTACTGAACCGTGCTTCCGATTGACTTGAAACTTGATATCCATGTAGAAAATACATGTACTTAATGGATAGGCTAATATTTATATGAGTGTTTAACTCCCTAATAATAATGACAATAAATAATAATGTTAATTTTAAATGCCCAGCGAAGCGGGCGAGTTCGGCTTATTTAATAAGAGTAGAATTCTTACCGAGAACATCATTCCCGTCAAACAAATTGTCAAGTTCCAAGGTCGATTTATCTTTGAGCTGGTAATTATGGTTCCAGTCTTTCACCGTCCAATGTTGAACACCATCTGCACCAGTTTCTACGCCAAGATCAGCTTCCACTGATATTTGAACCTTCCCTGCAATGCGTAAAGTCTTAACTTAAAGTAGCTTGATGAGTTCAAATACATTAAAATTGTTTGATTAACATTTCCTATAATATGTAAATTAGTACTGGTTAGCAAAAATCAATTCATTCTATTACAGGGCAGCATTTAGAAAAAAATGTGGGGAAACCTGTTCTCGATAATACAATAAACATAATACGATCCAATGATAAGAAGTATAATTCTCCAATAGCTGTCTAATTCGAAATGTAAACAAGAAAATATAAATAATTAATCAGCTTGAATTAAGCAGGTCTATTTAAACCGGTCCAAATACTGGAAATCTGTATGGGCGACTCACATTTGAAACTAAAAGGCTAGCCTTGTTTTTTTAAGTTTTTATTTACTGCCTACTAAATTAGGAGCCCATAGGCAACACAAGGTGAATGTTAGCATGGAGTTGGTGTCATGGTTATTTTATGTAACAGCTCTCCCACCTTTTAAGCCGGAATGCATTATTGCTTTCGGGCCAACATAAGGGGGCTGAATGTACCCATCCGCTTTGTCTCAAAAGACGTGCTACTCACAAATATGAGTTGGCGAACTCAGTATGGTATTGGCGGATCGTTTCTTTCCATTCTCTGGTCAGCTTAGTCGCTTTTTGAACAGAGGAACAAATGTTTGCGTTAATCAGGCCTTAATAATGCCGATGTGATAATTTTTGGTGTCTTACTTAATGCAGCGTGAAGTCTTCCTTTACCCCGAATCGGGAGGATAAGAACTTGGCCATCCAGTTCGTATTCCCCTTCAAGGTCAACCGAACATAGAAGCGTTATGGATAGTTTCGACTTCAATTTGTTTCGCCTGTAAAAGTAATTAAAATAAGTATTTAGACGTATGTATCCGACAATAAGCTCCTAGCGATTTTGAGAAGAGAGACAGTATGCTTTGTTTATACAAAAACAAGGTGCAAAACATTAAATAAAAAAAAGTAAAATTGGCGGTCTTATCGCTAAGAGCGATCTCTTCTAGATAGAAGATAACCATCAGATGGACAAGAATCACTTGGAAACAAATTACACGCGGTGTACCTGTCAATTAAAATGTATACATATACATACACAAATACATACACATGTAACATATACATTCCATATGAACAATGTAATAATAATAGGAAGAGATATTATGTTTGAGTTATTTTAGAATTTAAGCCCGCACGGATCCTACTTATTTCTGACTCTGATATCACTATCCTACTTATCCTGCTCTATAAAATAAACTCGTCTATCTATCTGGTGCAAAAAAGGAAAAGAATCCTTTTTGATCAGATCGAATACGTTTGACCTTTTAACAAGTAGTGGTTTATGTTTCCGGATTTCGAAACCAGAAATGTTCCAATTGATTTTGAACTTAACGAGCATATACACATTTATAGTGGGACCTAGTCTTAATGTGTATACTAAGCAGACATTTTCAAGGCTAGGTACTCACACAATATACTTTCATTTGTTCTGTAAGACAGTAGCGTGAGTTATATTCGCAAGCCCACTGAGTTTCTCGCGGGATCTTCTCAGTGGGTTGCGTTTCCGATCCGGTGGTAGATTCTGCGAAGCACTGCTCTTGCTAGGGTTCGTGTTAGCAACGTCGTCAGGTTTGAGCCCCGTGAGCTCACCTACTAGTTAAGGTTACGCTGGAATAGCCTCTCAAGGCTACCAGTTTAGGTAGGAAAAAAAATATATTCGCAAATGGAAGTGCTTTGAAATTTCGTTTTACATCGCCTTTTGCATATGTGACGATTAAGTTTTAACGGGAAAAGGTGAACAAGATGCATTCCGTTTAAGATGGGAAAAACGCTATGCAATACAACTGAGATTTCTCTCTTATTTCATAGAGTACGTGAAGCCTTTGGGGATACGTAAAATTCAAACCGGGCCAGGTTGCGAGGCACATGTCTAAAGACCCGTTGCCTTAAGGCGTGGTGGGACCTCTTGTGAGTCTGCACGGGTACCACCCGGCCTATTTCTGCCGTGAAACAGTAATGCGTTTCGGTCGGAACGGTGGGGCAGCCGTTGTAACTATACTGAGACCTTAGAACTTATATTTAAAGGTGGGTGGCGCATTTACGTTGTAGATGTCTAGTAACCACTCAACACCAGATGGGCTGTGAGCTCGTCCACCCAACTAAGCATTTAATTTTTTTTTAATAAAAACAATAACGTTAAAAATTACCATATAAATCATACCGCCAAACTGGAGGTGAATAGATATAGTTTTCACTCACCGTATCTTTTTCACAACAGTATTTCTGAGTCCTCTTACAGTAGCGTCTTTCAAAATCAACTTCAGAAGTTGAGAGCTCGCATCTAAGTATTTAATATTAAAGGGATCGAGTTTCTCTACGCCTAGATTTTCGATGCCTTCGACAAATATCGGTATGGTCGCTTGAGCAGATTCTTTTAGGCATTTTGAATCATCAGATTCACATTTTTTAATGAATGGAGCTGAAATGAATACGACGGAATTCAGTTTCGATAAACACTTAAGAATTTCGTTTACATGAGATATTATTTTGCTAATTTTAGTATGATTTCTGGATAAGTAAGTTTTGGTAAAAAATTTAGATATCATCAAAAAATGATATCTATATATTAATTCGTGAAGCAAAAACTTTGTATCCCTTTTTACGAAAATTGCGCTGACGGGGGAGTATGAAATTTTCAACACTTATAGAGAATATAGAGAAGAAGTGCACAGTGCTAATATTTTTTTAAAAATAATGAATAAAAGATACATTAAATCAATAAATAAACATTACACACACTACATTCCATGTATTTGACGCACACACGCATGCATACTATTCATTGTCAAACTTTTGTTCTTGACGTCTGTGGTCGAATTGAAAATAGATTAAATGTTGTTTGTCTTTGTTAATATTTTTTATAGTGTGTAGTCTTGGCGAAATTTGTGATTATAGAAGTATAAAATAAAATCACAGTAGTGTACAAACTTACAATTCCAATTGATTATAGTCGAATTTCGACTACTGCGGGACCTCTAGTATACATAGTTAAACGATAAGAAAAACTATGTTATTTAAATTTAAGTTTCTTGGTTGTTTTAGGCTGATTTAATTTTTTATAGACGAATCTTAATTGAATAATGATACGTACCTACAGCCGAATGTGTAACATACACAGAACAGAATATCAAAAATAAAAATTTGAACATGACTTATGCGAGACACAACTTGAGAGTGAGGAAGTTCTCCTGCGAATAAACTTTACTCCTGACATTGCTTATTTAAAATCGTTTATGTTTTTTTTTTGCTATTCTAGATGCTTGAAAAACTTGTTTTGAGTATTCTTGTGTGTACGACAAGATATATACACATAATATAAGACGGCCATTGACTTATTGCTATTGCCAATTTGAGGTTTTTTTCCACTAAACACGTTGATTTCACGTTTGAGCTTTGTACTTTTTATAGCTTTTGAAGGCGGTCCAATTTACGACTAATGACGAGGGGTCAATGTCACTCACCGCCGAAAAAAAATCCGCAGATTTCTTCGTTTGAATTCTTTATCGAAGAACGATATGTCATGGCATCCAAAATACATCGGTTGTCATCTTTTGTTGGAGTAAAAACTTCTTTAGCATCGTTGTGATTTGAAAGTTGATGAAATAAAAAAGCTACATTAAAAAGAGACAGACACATATTTATAAGATTTAACGTGGGAGAAAATGAAATAGGATAGAATACAGTGTTTCTTATATTCGTGGTTCTCTTTACTGGTGCTTCGTACTTAATACATTTTGAATAAATATATGTAATATATACGAATAAAATTTAAAATAATTATCAAACTTTGTTTCACTATGATCATTATTAAAAATAACAATTATTCTCTTCCCGAAATTTTACATTTTTCTCATTATTTTGAAGCCAACCTTTTTTTAAGTTTCACTTCTACCACGTGTGAATTGCACACTGGTTTTTTTTAATTGCTTGGTAGAGTAAACTAAGTTGAAACCCATATTTAGTAGTAACCGGAGTCCTCAGAATTTATAATCTGAATATTGCCACCCACCTTTACCTATGGTGTCGTAATCGCAATGGTATTGCGTACCGGCTGTCTCTTCTTCAAGCCAAAACGAATTTCCCTTTCACTTAGAAATAGGCAGGATGGTTATAGGCATCCTGGGGGGTGATACCCCTGCGGATTTACAATATGCCCCACAAGCAGTAAATGAAATATCTGTTTCCTTTTTCTAATCATAAGGTAATCATATGGTTTAGTTTTAAGGATTGTGGCTAACACCGTATATCTTATCGACTGCACGTCATACGGAAAATAGCCAGTTGTTACTTAAAGTAAGAGCTTTAGAACTTTGATCTTATGACTCTTGATGGCAACGGTATTGGTGTTGTTTAGTCATTTTTTCTGGAGTGGAGACCGCGAACCGGCAAACGTAGTGTAGGACGCCCTCCTGCTAGATGGAGCGAAGACCTGCGCAAGGCAGCTGGCAGTAACTGGATGCGTAGAACCGAAGATCGGGTTCAGTGGCGAGCTTTGGGGGAGGCCTATGTCCAGCAGTGGACTGCCGCAGGCTGATGATGTGTCATTTTATCATTAGCAGTATTCGCGTAATGATCGAAATTTTAAAACAAACATTGACGCTTCAAGATCTAGTTAGTTTTATAAATTATGTTTTGCTCTATTGTTTTCATGAATAAATAACATCAAAGTTCGTCAATATATAAATGGAAAAGAAAATATAAATATAAACTATACATAAAAAAGTACTTGGCTCTTTTTGTCTTTATTTTTTTACTGTTCTTTTTTTTGCCACTAAGTCGCTGTCTAATCTTTTTTCAAATATTTGACATTTGTTTTGATTTTATTCAATATTTTCCGCTCAGTTTTTGTTGCATTAGATCATTTATTAGCTTTGTACACGAAAAAATATTCGAGTGCTTTTAAAATTTTGACAAGTATTCCCCAAACAGATACGTTGAGTGAAGTATGTTGCGAATGACTGCATAAGTTCATTTTGGTTTGTTTTTTTTCAACTGACTTCTAGGAACACTAATACTGATTTTTATATGACTTGATGATGTAATTAATGATAGTTTTAGGCACGAAGCTGTTAACCTTATTTTTGTTCTGAGTTGTACTGAAAATGTGGCATAAATGATTGGACGACAGATGTATTCATGCGACGTATCCATATCATGATATAATAAAAGCAAATGCGCAAATTTATAAATATATATAATTACTGGTACGGCCTATTACGAATTGGTATATGGTAAATTTCGGTTTCATACATATAATAATATGGTAGATATTCATTAAATTTTAGGTAAATTTACCATTAAGTTAATTGTTTATAATTTTCGGTAGGCAGCGGCTTGGCTCTGCCGCTTGCATTGCTGAAGTCCATGGGCGACGGTAACCACTCACCATCAGGTGGGCCGTATGCTCGTCTGCCTACACGGGCAATAAAAAAAAACTACATCTGTAGTAAATTCAGATTATATTTATTTTTCGATTGTAAAAATTAATAAGCCAATATTAAAGTTTTTATTTTATTAAAACTACTCAGGTATCCGCTTATTAAATATGTATGTAACAATCAATTTAAAATTAGGTCTTCAACGGGAATCGCTTTGAAGAAACGTTCGATGTTCTTCACGACCCTTGCCACTGCAGCCTTGATCATCGGCGATCCGATTTCCTTGATGATATCGTTGCCGTTGTTGGCGATCAGCTCCCGGGCCGCTTGTCCTATAATACGAAATATTTCAATGAAAGTCAACATTTTTAACCGACTTCAAAAAAGGAGGAGGCTCTCAATTCGAATGTATGTTTGGTTTATGTTTGTTACCTCATAACTTTTGACTGGGCGAATCGATTTTGAGGATTCTTTTTTTTTATTACAAAGTTGACGCTTCTCGTGTGGTCCCATTTCAATTTAGTCCAGTTCTGATAATGGTATCCATGAGAAAACCATATGAGTCATAAATTCGCATTAAGTACGTGCGCGATAAATAAATGAATAACTCAATAAGTCAATATCACGCCAAACGATTTCGATGATTATTGTTTTTAGTGTATATTAATTTATTTTGGATTATGTTTTTTTTTCTATTTGAAGTCGGTTTTTGTTATAGCATGTCTATTTACAATTATACTGTAATAACATTGTTGTATCTAAGGTATTTAATTTACTAATTAATACGGATAAATACATACAATATAGATATAAAACGGAAGATTAAAAAGCTAAAAGGCGAAATTCTATTTATGTCTATAAACTACAATCTACATTAAAAGAGTTGTGAGCATCTTTAATATTTATATAATAATGTAATATTGCCAATTGATTAAGCGTGATTGAAAATCCAGATGATAAATTATATGTTTAGATGATAAATACAAGATAGTATTCTGTTGTTAATAGGTTTTATTCATATTAGAACGTGAATACCGCCAATTAGACAGCAAGGTGGGTTTTGAATCAAATTTAGGAATCTAGTCACATACGTGGATAATACAATAATATTATTCTGAAACAACAAACTAAACAGCAAATTATGATTTGCGTAATTGCTAGTGGTAGGACCTCTTGTGAGTCCGCACGGGTAGGTACCACCGCCTTGCCTATTTCTGCCGTGAAGCAGTAACGTGTTTCGGTTTGAAGGGTGGGGCAGCCGTTGTAACTATACTGAGACCTTAGAACTTATATCTCAAGGTGGGTGGCGCATTTACGTTGTAGATGTCTATGGGCTCCAGTAACTACTTCACATCAGATGGGCTGTGAGCTCGTCCACCCATCTAAGCAAACAAATAAATGAGCTTACAAAACCGAACTGATAGCTTTATTAATGCTTAAATAAACAAAGAATAGATATTTTAAAAGTAATACATACCAAGTACTTCATTTCCATCAAAGAGATTTTCGAAGACAACATCGGATTTGTCTTGGAGTTCGAAGGTGTAGGACCACTTCGTGATGTGCCAATGCTTTTTACCATCATCTCCCAATTTCTCTTCATAATTCGCCTCGACATTGATTTGTGTTGTTTCTGAAATAACATTATGTCTATCACATAATTGTCGCGTTAAATTCAAATCTCTTTTAGAATAGAGAGATGCATTAACAATGTTTTTACCAAGTCGCTTTCTCTAGGTAACTACACTGAGCCCTTAGAACTTATATCTCAAGGTGGGTGGCGCATTTATGTTGTAGATGTCTATGGGCTCCAGTAACCACTCAACACCAGGTGGGCTGCGAGCTCGTCCACCCATCTAAGCAACAACAAAAAAAGGTCTGCTTGGACAGACACTGTAACCAACTTTAACTCTTTGAATTGGATTACTATATATCTCTCGCTTATAGGATGACTATGAAAAAAAGATTAGGAAAAAGAAGAAGGACAATTCATACATTTCATAATTCGTTTTAAAACCTTCGTATATGTTCGTTGATTTTTATCGAATGACTATATGTAATTTTTATACTAAATAGTTAAGGTTAAAAGGTTTAATACAATAATATTCTTGTATTAGACTAATGACTTTTAAGATTTTTAGTTTATGGTTCTGTCTGTCGATAAATATGAGCAAGGACAGGCGATAATTAAAATTGAGAAAATATAAACCCTTGCGTTAGGATGAATCGTTAGTCGCTTCTCTTCGTATTTGCCAATTTTTTACACATTTTATTAAAAAAAATAGTAATCAAATATTAGCTTGATCACGAGACAAGAACATTATGACATATAAAGGATGTACAAAATATATAAAATAAATAAATCGAAACTGTTATCTAATAATATGCAGTAGTATTCAAAATTCAATTACTTTCATGTAAATTCGAATTGTACACGATAAGATTACAAACCAAGTCCTAAATTCGATGTTAAAGAAATATCTTCAAGTTTACTCTGGATTATGACGTTATTTTTTGTAACATTATATACCATATGCAAACCTTATGTGATATTCTTTCTGTAGTCTTGGATAAAAATGTAATTGGAGCCTATAAAATACAGAGATACGAGGCAGATTATTTATCACATTTCAATCGGAGGCCATGATCATTTTGCAGCAGAAAGCAAAATAGATAGAAAGCTAATAGAAGGTTCATTGCTTATTCAGAGTTTTAAAGAAGGATACAGCCATAAAAAAAAAAAAAAAATCATTTTTTCGCTTCATAGATTTGTAATCGCAATTTCCTGTATATTAGTAAGTATCTAGTATAGACCTTGTGGAGGAATCAATGTTTATGCATGAATTCAAATCATAGATAGCACGTGGAATTTTAATTGGCTGAGAAAAATGTTAAAACAGTGACGAATGTTAAAACTGTTAAATTCGGTAAGTAAGGTAAGTTCGGCAAGTTTTTTACTGGTGGTAGGACCTCTTGTGAGTCCGCACGGGTAGGTACCACCGCCCCGCCTATTTCTGCCGTGAAGCAATAATGCGTTTCGGTTTGAAGGGTGGGGCAGCCGTTGTAACTATACTGAGATCTTAGAACTTATATCTCAAGGTGTGTGGCGCATTTACGCTGTAGATGTCTATGGGCTCCAGTAACCACTTAACACCAGGTGGGCTGTGAGCTCGTCCACACATCTAAGCAATACAAAAAAAATATACTATTGTTCGATGTAAATGTTATGTTTGTTTTCAACTTACTCAAGTCGACGTGAATTTTTCCTTTTCCTTTAATCGGCAAAACGAGGACTTGACCGTTAAGCTCGTAGTTGCCATTTAATTTGGCTTGACATAAAATCTTCAATTCCAGTTTCGAGCCGTGTCTGCAAAAGTCACTTTATTATATAACTACTTACATTACTAATTAATTTACTAAACTTAAACCAGACCTTTCTCTGTACCCTTATTCCTTATGTTGAAAGTAATGTTTTTTTTTTCTACCTATGCTGATAGCCTTGAGAGGCTATTTCAGCTTCATCTTAACAGGTGTAAGTGAGCTCTCGGGGCTCAAACCGGAGTGTTGCTCACACTGACCCTAGCAAGAGCAGTGCTTAGAAGAATCTACCACCGGATCGGAAACGCGACCCACTGAGAAGATCCGGCGAGAAACTCAGTGGGCTGTGTCTATGGGTTAATTCGCTCGTCGAGCCCTTCGTCGCAAGCGACGAGTTCGACGCGGACGGTGACCGGTGCTTGTGGTGCCTAAGAGCACCGTTAATGGATCAGGAGGATCCGTAATGACGTGCTTTGGGCGACGTCAACAAAATGTTTTATATGATTTCGGTTTTACGCGGCTTATAAATTAACCATTTTTTATTTATTTAAAAAATGTATACATATATGGCTGCATATTCGTATATTCGTTACAATATTTTTGGGTCTCATTCATCTGGCGTCACTGAAGACATTAATGTAGAACTCCCCGTATTGTGAAATATAATATACATTTAGGGAAACGTATTTTTCTATCGCAAGCATGAAGTGGTAGTGAAAGCAAGTGAAAGAAAATCTTTTATTTTTGATTACAAGCGCGAGTTTATTTACGTATCAGAAATGAAAAGTTATCTATTTTACAGCTTTTTTTGAGTATTTTCGTGTAATATTTGTAAAATATCCCTAAAAAATGAAAATTTATATTTTTTTAAATAAAACTTAAATTTTTGGTCGTTTACGACTTAACTTAACAGATAAAGAGTTACTGTAAGCCTTACCTATATATTACGTACACTTCAAGTAGCTTTAAAAATGTTTTACTTTTGTCTTAATAAATAATCGAATTGATAGAGTTTATTTCGGTTTTAAATAGAAAAATCTAAGGGGCATAGGTGTAATTATTTATACATTTTGAATCAAATTCTACTTACTGAATCTGCTTCGGTTTGCAACCACTCAGTCCTGTAACTTCAACGTCAGTCAGTATAAACTTGAGATTAGGAGAACTGGCATCCACTTTGTTGAATGTAACCGGATCTAGCTTTTCAACACCATACTCGGGTAGGCCAGCAGCAAAAATGGGTATGGCAACTACAGTGCTCTCTTTAGTACATTCTGAATCACCATATTTGCACCTATTTACGAACGATGCTAGAAATACAAACATTATTCGTTTAAAATTTCCAATCGCCAACGAACGTTTCAACTAATGACTACTTTAAAATTATATTTGTTATTATGTAGTTTATGTTTACTTTGAAAACAAACGTTTACGTCTTCCTTGGAGAAGGCGTAATTACTGGTGGCAGGACTTCTTGTGGGTCCGCACGGGTAAGTACCACCACTCCGCCTAATTCTGCCGTGAAGCAGTAAAGCGTTTCGGTTTGAAGGGCGGAGCAGTCGTTGTAACTATACTGAGACCTTAGAACTAATATCTTAAGGTGGGTGCCGCATTTACGTTGTAGATGTCTATGGGCTCCAGTAACCATTTAACATCAGATGGGCTGTGAGCTCGTCCACCAATTTAAGCAATAAAAAAAAGTATTCAATCTTATCTTAATAATATTTTAGCGAGATTCGGGCATTTGTCAAATATCTTCTCTTCTACGCAGGCTATCACCACAAGTAGATTCGACTTATTAAATAGAAGTCCGCCGTCTTAATAGTATTAAATGTTATTATAAACTTTAAGTTTAAGTTAAGAAAAAGAAAAACAAACTCACGTGGTGTTGAATTTACAATACAAATCACACTTAAAAACGTTACAAAGTAAGTTACATGCATATTTAATACTGTTTACGTTGTAAGCCTATGCTACACTGTTAATTCTATATGGAGAATCATTGCTTATATATTCTTCGTTCCGCTGTGTTGTTTTTATCAAAGTTTTTGTATTACGTACGTCACTTTTATCCTTTATACAAATGTAGTAAAAAAAAAATCGATTTGTTTGCGAATAGTACACAGCTGCTGCTATCAGCTATAGATGATGGCTAAGAATTATTTTAGCTATCAGCTATGGCTCCTGGGTAAGATAAATTCGTATTCTTGTGTGTGTTCATTAAAACACACATAAGAATACGAATGTTAGAACGCTATATCGTGTTTAAAATACTATTTTAAATCTAAATAATGTTTTATCGGCTGTGTCGAATCCAATTTCTAGGGAACCTATTTTTTTGAAACATTAAACTTAATCCTATCCGAAATTGCGTGATTAAAATAAAAATTCATCGTGATATAGAGGTCAATCAAATAGTTAACATCAGCAAAAAACTCGACACCATTAAAAATATGAACAAAAAAAACGAGAAATAATAACATATAAATAAATCTTGAATGTTAGTAAAGGTATTGAAGATAGCAGCGGTTAGATCTCACACTGATATTTTATTTCATCATTCATCATCAGCCTGTATCTCTCCTATGTTGGATGTAGGACACAATGAGCGATCCCCCGCCTTCTGCAGCCTATCTTCTCCAGCATATTGCCGCAAGTCATCGGTCCACTGAGTTATTCATTATTATTTGATTATTATTCATTATTCATATTATTCATTACTATTAATTAAGTTTATTTCACACTTTTTGTTTTTGGGTAGGTACTTAATTATTTTTAAGTTTTTATTCTTTTTACAGATGCTGTTTCGAAATAAAAGAAAAACCTCACTCTCATAACTGAGACGAATCTAATTACACTTCAGATATTAAAATCCTATAAAAGAGTTGGTGAGATTTTGCGCTTCTGTAATTAACGAATATCTTCTCGGACAGGATAATTAGTAACATATTCTGAGTTTTTCTGTAACACGTTAGTCAAAGTTAAGTGCTAGAAATAAAAAACTGTTTACCTTGGAAATCAATTATCTCACTGTCTGTCATTTCCTAAGCAGCAGCATTTAAGTAATTACAGCAGAAATAAATAGACAGAACAGTAGAACCAGCTTGTGTGAGCTTATAACACCCAATATTCTCTACGATGTGCAACTCAACTCAACACTTTACTGCACATCAAAACACAATTTACATTCAAAAAGCAATTTTTTAGGAACTCCAAATTATCATGGCGCTTAGAGCAAGCCGTACTCTCTAAAACTGACCATAAATCATAATCCAGCGGATTAAGATCGGGACTAAACGACGGCCAGTCTTCAGCACTCAGACAATAAAAAAAAATCTTCATCTCCCGAGATAAAATCTTTTGCTTTCGGACAGGATTTCTTCGAATTCTTTCCCTTACTGTTTTCACCACCTTTTTCGTATGCACACTACGTGGACGGCCAGATCTTTTTCTGTCACAAACAGAGGAGGTCTCATTGCACCTATTAATAGCCCGGTATACAAACATTTTACTAATACCAAGCGTATGGCGAGTTTTAAAAATTGCATTTGGCTCCATACCTACTTTGTGTAATGCAATAACAGCGATTCGGTTCTCTTTATCACCCCACTCCATTTTAATATCGCAAAATATTGTACAATGATTTGGCAACAAAATGAGAAAACTCAATGAGCAATCATATAAAAATAACAGATTCCAAATTCAAATGTAATATTTTGTTTATTTCTAATTGTAACAGTATTTATGGCCAGACTAAGTATACCGTTTACATATAATATGAAATATCTAACTAATTGATTTATATACTAATATACTTACATACATATAATAAATCAAACAGTATGGAAATTATAAATGATAAAGACACACTGAGTGTCTGAGTTTTTTACCGGATTTTCTCAATGGGTCGCGGTGGTAGATTCAACGAAGCAGTGCCCTTGCCGGGACCAGTGTTCGCTAATTCTCTCAGATTGAGCCCCATGAGTTTCACCAACACATTTAATGCAGTTATTATAACCCGTTAAGGTTACTAGCAGTATGTGACCAATAACAAATAGACAATAGTTTAAAAATCCGTGATTGATTATTATTTTCTGATCTATGTGTTGGTACTCTTTTCGTATATCGAAAGACTTCCACGATTAAACAATGTATCATATAATGCAACCCACAAGTTACCTATTTATGCAGTTGAAGACTTATTCAAGATTCAGTCATTATTTCAATGGACTTGAGAACTCGGTCTCATATTTCACCGTGGATACCGGGGTTCTTGCTGCGAGATCTATGAGTTCTGGAAGACATTTGAAATTAGTTGAACGGTGAACTTCATCTATCCAGTACAGTCAAGGAAAAAATAATCAAGGTTTCTTGACAGTCCACTGCCTACGCATAACTACATCCTTTTAAAAAAAACATAACAACAACAAATAAATAAATATTCAACACCACTCGTCAACAACAAAATAAAACGTAACTTTGTACTTATTTAATGAGTTCTTAGTTTACTTAATAAAAAAAAAAGTAATCGGACAATTAACCAGTAATTCAAAGAATAATTCATAACAAGTTTGTTGAAATATTAATAATTTTAGACTAGGTTATCTTTTTCGAAGAAACTTTAGCTGAGACCTTTAAGATATTTAAAAATGTATTTGTTTGGAACATTTGTACGCTCATTAAAAACGAAATGGCATGAATAAGTATTTGATCATATCCTTCTTCAAACGAGGCTTGTGGAGAGAGCTTAACGGTAGGCAGCGGCTTGGCTCTGCCCCTGGCATCGCTGAAGTCTAGGAGCGACGGAGCCACTGATCATCAGGTGATCCACCATCCATGCGAGAATCAAAGGAGGATTCAGCAGCGTTCCTTACGAGAAACTCAGTGGGCTGTGGGTTAATTTACTCGTCGAGCCCTTGAGAACGATGACTGGCGCTTGAGGTACCTAAAAGTACCGTTAGTGGATCGGGAGGATCCAAAATGACGTGTCTTGGGCGACGTCGACTGCTTTATATTCTGTCCGCAGGATCGGGAACGTAGTTACCGGCGGCCACGATGAGAGGGTTCTCGTGTCGTGCCGCTTTGTCGAAGTGTGTTCTTGACCACTCATGACCACTCGCCACCAGGCGGATCTTTACACTAGACTTTAGCGAATTCACAGCCCATAGTCTGAACTGGTTGTTATTGTTTCTCTTAAAAGCGACACGTTTAANACTGCTTTATATTCTGTCCGCAGGATCGGGAACGTAGTTACCGGCGGCCACGATGAGAGGGTTCTCGTGTCGTGCCGCTTTGTCGAAGTGTGTTCTTGACCACTCATGACCACTCGCCACCAGGCGGATCTTTACACTAGACTTTAGCGAATTCACAGCCCATAGTCTGAACTGGTTGTTATTGTTTCTCTTAAAAGCGACACGTTTAAATGTTATAATATGTTGGTTGAAAAATGAGCTATTATTTAAACTGTATTTTATAATGACTAGATAAATGAATATTTCATCGTTGTTTTATAATTAAAACGATTATAATGACGCCATATATATGACGATAAATACCAGAAGGTTCTTAGTTACTTTGGTCATATTGCTCGGCGGCCACCAGACAACCTTGAAAGATTGATTGTGGTGGGCAAGGTAGAAGGGAAAAGACCCGCCGGCCGGCCACCAAACCGTAGGTCGGATCAGATAACTGCGCTCACTGGACTCTCTGTTACCAACGCCCTGAGAGAAGCCGAAAACCGAAGCAAATGGAAGCTGAGGGTACAAAGAGCCACGAAGGGCTTTCAAGGACACGACCGTCAGCAATGAAGTATTCGACTAAGAAGAAGATAACGACGCGATTATATTGACAATTTCGTTGTGTACTATTTATAAATTCATATCTAAGTGTCGTGTTAGACTCTGGCAATAACTTTGTTCGTGAGCCAAGGTCAAATATCAAGTTTGTTTTGTTCCCATACAATAAAAGGTTTGTATCATATTAAACAAAATACTGGCAAATCTTTATCATTTTTGGGCAATCCGTTTTAAGAGTAGCGGATTTTAGTAGTCGATTTGAGTTTGAAATAGGTCAACTAAAGGTACACCACGGAAGCCTGCTTATAAGCTCTTCAATACAGTTGAAATTTTGACAATAGCCACTCTAGTAGATTTATAAAGCACAGACTGACACTTTTGTTATTCTTATTACCTTTCTCTAACTAGATGGGATCAGAACCATACCATTTCGCAAACTTGATGTCGTTTGAAATTCCATGACCGGCTGCCTAATCTAATACCTCTTTGGGAAAGTTAAGGTTCGCACTGTATCTTATAGCCCTAGTATTAGGGGTCGAAATTGCCAATCAACTGAGTATACTGACTGAGCTTACCAGGCATGTGTGCTTCGGTGTGCGTGGTTGATACCACGGTCCGCTGTCCGCATATGATGGAGCCCCACCGTGCGGTGTCCACGTCACTTAAGTAGAACTCAATCTTTGACAATCGCGGGAGACGCGATAGCTATTAGTGGAAGATAATGTTCAATTTCTGTAAGTCCATTAATTTGTAAAAAGATACGGCGGATGACCCTCTGCCGCCGAGGCAGTGATTTATCACGAATACTGCCCCATAAGAGTTTCAGGGCACCAAAATTACTCTTTAAAAATAATTTGTAGTTAAAATGAAGGATTGATTACTACATTTTTTTCCGTTCACCTCTATGAGCATTGATCGGGTTTTCCTTTGTAACTTACATAATTATTGTATATGTAAATCTTAAAACAAACTACTAGTATTTGAACTGAAGTGCAAATTGCTAGCGGCTCTCTTCCCTTCTTCCTCGAAAGCGCTGGCCGGGTTAATCGTCCAAACGGCTTATGGAAACTAATTTGCTGGTATCAAAGCTTAACGCAATCAAAACTTCGCGGTACCCACAAAACGGATTAAAGTATTTAGTGGTTTAGTAGTTCACCAAGAACTCCTAAGTCCCAAAGTCAAAAACAATTAGGAGACAATGACATTAATTAACTAATCGACTTCAAACTTTGAGGAAATAGGTATGCTTGAAGAAATCAACGGTCAAGGCGTTCGGCCTAACTCCATTATAAAATAAATTTGGCAGATATTTGCTGGATTTTTGTCAAATACACAAATTTGACATGTTTCTATTGAACTATGTTCAGTTTTTGATAAATATTACATACTAAAATTTATCATGTTTTTTGAAGTGAAACTTCTTTAGGCGCATGAGGGTAAAAATTTTACAGAACGTCACGCAGGTATGCAACGGAAGTGACATCAAACTACTATTGAAATTAAGTACTTGTCAAATGTCAGTAGTAGTAGTTGTTGTATTTTTCCAACTGGAAAGGCAAATGTATCATACCATACAGCCTAAAATTTTATAATTTTTTTGTGAAAAATGTTAATAGGAATTGAAATGAAATGAAAAGAATTTGGAACATTAATCAAATAGCATGAAATTAAATTAGTCAATTCAATTGGCAAAATATTAGTCATTTACAATTTAGAAATCTAAACATAATGTGACTGTCAACGCTGAGGTTTGAGATTGACATTTGACAGACTTTTGGCGGGAACATATATTCCTTTTTCCCTTCCTCTAAGTCTCGGAAATCTAAAGTTTTAGATTTGTATAAATATAAGCAAGACTTATAAATTAGTTCGCCAAAAAAGTTTCACTACTGACATGTGTACTTTGTACGCACGTACTTTTTTTTTTAGATTGATAGATTCCAAGGCATTGTACCGATTAAGTCGATACATTTTACGGTTATCGATGATATTTCAGAGAAGCTATCTGATTATTCATAGACGTATGACAGAGAACTAATTAGCGATAGTAATAGCTAAGTTGAAAAGAGTATTAGTTGGTTCAGCATCGACATGCTCCACATACGAACCCCAGTGGGTTCAACGATGTACGGGGATTCCATCATCTACAAATAAAAGCTGGGTTGACTCACTTAACGAGAATATGCTATGCTCCCGGCGCGACTTTCTATCTGTTTCATTCTGATTATTAGATATGAACGTACGCGCGAGTAACGAGATACAAGCAGACTCGAAACTTGCACATATTTATGGATAAATGAAAGTTTTTCTAAAACTATAAGTGAATTTATTTTGATTAACGAAAGTATTAAAGGACCACTTTTTGTTGGTAAATAACTTTTTTGGAATACATGTTTTAATCGGTACTAAGGTACTTGTATATTTCTATGAATCGTGTCGACGGTAACCACTTGATCTCATTTCCTCATATGCGAGAATATAAAATATTATAGACATAAAGTAATGAACATAACAAGAACACACACACACACATCAAATTGTCGATCAATCTTTGAATGGCTTAAACGTATTTGCAAAACAAAGTATTTTATAATTACAGTGATCATAAACAGCGGTGTTTAGTCTAACGCGTGATTTTTATTAGAGTTAATTTTAACTAGTAAGAAAAAACAACTCATTGAAAAAAAAAACAATTAATCAGTATTTAAATTTATATTACTTATAAATTTAATGGAAACTACAAATCGAAATATTCTTCCAATGGCATTGTCGTAAATAGTTTATTTAAAGCTACAAATACATTCATGAAGCAGGTTGAGGCGAACTTATCTTGAAGAGTGTAGACAATATTTCTCCAGTGCTCTTGTGCTAAAAATTTGGCACCTGTAAAAATGTTAGATAAGTTATTCAACTAAGTAAGCGTCATTCGTATTACAAAGCTACTACACCGTAGAAGTCGGACTCCAGAGTTGGAGATATAGTCGTGGATCCCAGTAAAAGCTTTGGTTTGTATTTTTTAGAAAAATAGCCTTCCATGGTACTCTGAGAGACCTCAAAAGTATGGACTCTGGTCCATGTACAGTCTGGTTTGATACAGTACAGTACAGTCACTGGATCTCATAGAGCATCATAACATGACGTGACGAACGGTAGAATACCGCTCTCTTTGAGATGACATGAATTCTAAGTATCAGTTTTATAGTACAGCGACTGCCCCGCCCTTCAAACCTAAGTCTCAATAATATTGTATAGTGGTTTTCCCATTGCCCCATAGCAGTAGAAAAGTGTGATTTACCCCTGTGGGTTCACTATAAGCCTTTAAATATCCAAAATCATTTTACAGGTAAATTTGATTACACGGTATTGTTTCTTAATGTGTTAGTGAAAGTGACGTATGCAATCACAATAATTGTACTTACTTGGTATTTCTTGCCCGTTATAAAGATTCGTGAAATGTAACGCCACTTTCTCCAATGGCGACACCTTGACGTTGAAGTCCTTAAGATGAAAAAGAGTTTTATTCCCAACAGTTTGCACAAGTTCAAATGTTGTGTTCGGCATTAACTTGTAGCTTTCTGAAACATAATTACCCAATTTTTCATTAAAAATTGTCAGTTTGATTTCGTTTTAGGCTTCGACCGAAAGTTGCAGAGACAATCTCTGAAAACATTTAATGCCTTTGCTGTTTGCTAGTTTCATATTTATAGAGAGGGTCCTAAAAGTACCGAGAATGACTCTGGGGGATCTGACAAGACATGTTTCGGGCGACGGCGGCTTTGCATTGCCCTGTCGCAGTCGAATAAGTAATTAGCGGCGACCACGATAAGAGGGCTTTCGTGTCGCGCCGCTTTGTCGAAGTAGCGTTCTGACGCTTCCTTAAGATACTTACGTATCGGTACTAGATTTAGGTTGTCGTGAAGATCTATATTCCTCACGTACCAGTGATTATAGGGCTAAAATGCTATCTTCGTGTCTGTGCATACCATACAAATAAATGACGTGGCTGTGGAAAACATCAATAATGACAAGATTGAGAGAAGTACTGGTTCTCTATTATAGATTTTTATTACTGGAGACATGCTACCAGCCAGCTGTACGATCCTACAGCTGACCTGCCGTGCATCTAAGCGATTCGGCGAGTCTACGGTGACTGGGTAACTCGCAACCAGTGGCACTGCCTGGGTGGCGACTCTTGACCGCCGTAGTTTCTCCAATATTTTTTGGATTATAGCTTAAGCAGGGACCTTGTAGGAGGTTCGGTTCCAGCCAAAAAAATAGCGTACTATCTCTGTGAGCGCCTCTTGGATACGGTAGAGTTTACACTCGCAATCTATTTCGCACGGGAGGCGTGGCTCTGTGTCCTTGGTGGTTCCGACTGGTCGCTACGGAGCATTTTTTTGAGCTGAGAATTGGTAGGCGATTTACGATATCTCTCAGCATCAATCCGCCAGCGTCCAGCCAGGGTTGGGGTAGAGATTTTTCCCAAAATCCTGGTACCCTATAGTGTTTTAAGTGTCTTTTGCAATTCAGTTTGGAACTCATCAAGAGGATGAAGTGTTTTGCGAAAGTGACCTGGTTAAGTGATGGATGACTGCATTTCCCGCCCAACACCGGTTCTGATTTAACATGGTTTCCTAGGGTTTAGCGATGCCATCGGGACGAACATCGAATGGTTTATCACCCGATAGTCCCGGTTGTTGTGGTGCTAGTGACCACTACTTTGGCGTCTAGCGGGGAAAGGATCATGAGGAGACATGCTCTCCACGTGATACCCGTTGCCTTTTTCCCAGCCTTCCTCGGTTGAGTTTTTTTCCCATTCGGGGTTTGGACGCGTGTTATTGGGCGATAAGTTTTAGTCGGTCATCTCTGATATGTTAAATGATCGTTCACAATGTGTTAGCGAATATTTTTAGAGCGGATCATCAGAAATATCTCTTCCTGGATTAAAAAGTTGTCGCCATCGCCTTGTATTTAATTCTTAAATTACTGTTTTGAAATTTGTATATCAATGACTTACTTGTATCAATAGTAAATTTTCCTTTTTCTTCAGTAGGAACTGTTACAGCCAGTCCAGACATCTCATATTGTCCATTAATCGAAAAACCCAAACAGTAAAATTCTAAGTTCAATAAAGATTGTTCTATGTCCCAACTGTAAATTAAAAGTAAAGTTGAAATAATAATTTAGGTATCTCAGTCTAAGTTTAATAAGTAGTAGTTAATCTATACTAATATAAAAATATAACGTGGTTTTTACGGATGTTCCGTTATAACTAGTGAAAGATAGGCTAATATTTATATTAGTGTTGGACTCCCTAATAACAATGACAATAAATAATAATGTTAATTTTAAATGCCCAGCGAAGCGGGCGAATACGGCTAGTAATAATATATAATTACAAGACATTTGTGAATTCCGTGCATAAGTTCAAAAGTTTGTGTGGGGGCCACCCTGAACTAAAATTAAATATGCAAGATCCAAAGTTGGCGATTTAAAATTACATCTAAGATTATTTCTTAACTTACCTTAGATAGCTTATTTCTAAATGTTATTTAATGTTCGTGAATACTAATTGGTGTGTGTTACCAATTCAAATTTCGAGAAAAGCATTCTACAATTGACCAAGTCCACAGAATTTTTAATAAAATCGAAAAGACGCTTGAAGAAAGGAAAGTCTGTTCTACCGTCTTCATAAACATAGTTCAAGCTTTTGACCAAGTATGGCATGAAGGCCCGATATTTAAACTTAAATGACTATTACCTAGATATTTTCTGGATATTCTGGAATCATATATACCTAATGGGGTTTTTAGAGTTAGGCAAAATAATGCCTGTTCAGAGCTAAAAGCAATAAAAGCTGGAGTACCACAAGGATTGTTTTAGGGCCGGTCCTGTATATCGACGATAAGCACCGAGTTTCAAGTCTTGTTTTAAAATACGCGACAGAGTTCTAGCGGGAATCTTTATTTCTCGCGATAATTCTTAATGGGGTTGCGAAGAATTCTGGCTTTAACAGCATTAACAGCCTTTGTAGTTCTACCAGCACGCGGCGGCCCCGATCTTTTCTGGTCTTCAACAGATGAAGTGTTGTTGTATCTGTTGATAGTACGATATACGAACATACGGCTGATACCAAGCTTTTGAAGTGTCTGAAATATGACCGACGGCTCCATACCCACTTCGTGCAAGGCGATCACTGCAATTCTATTTTCTTTAACACCCCATTCCATATGGTAATTTGATAATGAACACGAAAAAAATATGTGAAATGGCGCGAAATCGAAAGAAGTTTTTAAAATAATATACGTGTTCCAATTCAAAATAATTAAAAAATTAAAAAAAAAAAAGTTTTTATGTAACAGTATTTATGGCCAGATCTCTTGGCGCTAACCGTTGACGCGAATTTGCTGTGGAAAGCTCAAGTCAAGAAAAAACGAGAAGAACAAGAATAAGATACAGAAAGTTGTACTGGCTACTTGGAAGACGGTCCTCGTTGTCGGTACTCAATAAATTAATGCTATACAAACAAGTTTTAATGCCAGTCTGGACTTATGGTATACATCTCTGGGGTTGTAACAAAGAAACTAACGTCAGAATAGTACAGCGCTTCCAAAATAAAGTTCTCAGGGATATTGTGAACGCACCCTGGTACATAAGAAATGACAATATTTACCGGGACCTTATTATTGAGCCTGTCCGCGAAGTAATTGCAAAATATGCTCATGAACACAGGCTTCACCATCATGTGAATGTGGAGGGTGTCTAACTCCTCGACAATACAGACTTAGTGAGAAGGCTCAAGAGGACTAAGCCTTTTGTGTTAGTGTGGTGTTCATTCGAAAAAGTGTTACAGTGATAATGACGTAACGTGTCGCACGTAGCTTTTGGTACATTACATAATAATAAAATAATAAACTTATTAAGTACGTATTTTCTTGGAAAAATACGTATCTGGCCGGTTCGAAATGCGGGATAGGACATCGGGCGACTAATACGTTAGGCCACAATGTCTACAAATGTATTTACTACAGGCTTGTGAATATCAATTGTGACAGGCAAAGTATACAATACAAATATCTAACTATATAATAGGTCGGTGAAAAGTTTCTTCGCATTTTTTAAGAAAATTGACAACATTTTTAATATAGTTTATTTACATTTAACTAAAGTATGTAGGTACCATATTGCTATAGAAATTTTGGGGCTTCTGATCAAAATACCGCGACAATTGGTTTTGGCTGTCCTCTGGTGACCTGATACTGCCTAAATAATTCTGAAGAGACCGAAACAGGTGGAAAACTGAAGGTGCAAGGTCAGGACTATACGGCGGATGAATTACCACTTCCCAGCCAAACTCTCTTAATTTTTGCTGAGTGGCTAAAGATGTGTGAGGAGTAGCGTTATCGTGATTAAAAACCACATCCCTTCTGTTGATTAATTCCGGCCGCTTTCTCTCAACTTCTTGCTTTAATCGCATCAGTTGTTCACAGTAGAGTTCAGAATCGATGGTCCTGCCTGGTAGTAACAGCTCGTAATGAATAATGCCCTTCCAATCCCACCACACACACAGCATCACCTTGTTGCGAGTTAACCCGAGTTTCGCCAGAGTCTGTGAAGCCTAACCGGCCTTTGACCACGACTTTTTCGCACGTTCGTATCGTACGAGATCCACTTTTCATCACCAGCTATCAGCTTCTTCAAAAATAGTTCAGTTTCATTACGTCGTAATACAAAATTACAAATGAGTACACGGTTCATTAGATTTCTTTCAGTGAGCTCGTGAGGTACCCAAATATCGAGATTTTTCAAATGCGCCAAAACTGTTTTGTGGTCAATTCCCAGTTCTTCAGCTAAGTCGTAACTACTGATATGCCCCGATCTTGCTCCACTTTTTAAAAAATGGCATTCATTTTATCCGTAATAGGGCGACCAGAGCGACGTGCATCTTTACCTTTTTTGTAGTAAAATTTTAAAATGTATCGCATTTCTTCATTAGATTCAGTTATCTTGACATTACGAAAAATAAATAAAAATCACACATTTTCCCAATTTGAATTTTGAATTATCTTCTTTAAAATTTAAACTTTTAATGATACCAAAACCAGTCAGATACAAATAGTATGGCCAAAGAGATTTTATTACAAATGCATGCATACTATAATGCGAAAAGTCTTTTTCCCCAACCTATTATTAACTACTGAAAACTAAAAATATGTTCTTACTATAAATCGAAGACTTTACAGGTATTATAGCCAGTCATGGAAATATTTGTTAACTTGATCTTCCGGTCAGGAAAATTTCCTTCTACGAACTCTATATGCATGGGATCGATGTTTTGATTATTATCAGCTTCGAATATTTTTTCAAAGACAGAATTGCTGAACAAAACAATGCATTGCTTGTCTGTAATTTTGCATTTTTCTGAAAACAAAATTGATTATTCCTTATTGGACTACGTGGTAATTTTATCTTACTTAGTGTAGTGAATTTTATCGGTCAGGACAGTTCGTGGATTGATGTGAAAAAAAAAAAACAGTTCACGCATCTATAGCCCATTAAACAAGACGATCAGAATATTTTGCTGCCCATATACCACCCCACAGGCTAATAAGTTGGTCGGTGATCCCACCGGTGATCTTTTTATTAAGAGAGAGACAATTTTCTCAATAAAAAAATGGTGCACATTCACCAACGAGCAGTAAAATAAATTCTTCAAAATTAATACAATTTCCACAACTGTACTGTTAGCGATAAGGGATGCTGCTACATGATCTTGTACGGGTTAGTAACATCGTCAGCACAATTATGATTTCCGATTTGAAAGATTCGGTGTACTTAGGTATGCAGTTTCTACATTACCGTCCATCACCACCACCATCCTTCTGCCGTGAAGCAGTTATATGGTCACGTTTGAAGGGCAGGAGAGCAACAACAATACAATTGAGATTTTGAAGTCATATCTGAAGGGGAGTGACGGCATTCACGACGGTTCTATAGGCTCCTGTAACCATTTGTGAATGGATAGGATGTTGGTAGGTATGGACAGTGTCGCTAATCCAGCAAAGATTTTTCTTAACAGTAGAACCAAAGTAAAAAAAACTTGGATTAACGGTCCTTAAAAGAGTTTTTTTAAATTGGATGGCCTTTTTTAAAAATGATATGTGAGAGAAGGGTGTGAATGCGGAAATGACGTATGATAGGCCAGAATGCAAAAAAGGACATGACGCACTGATCTCATATAGTAGGATAAGGGCAAGAAGAAGAAGTACGAAGTCCAAGAATAAAATATTTTAACTTACCTTTTTCACCCGAAGCACTGAAAAATGCACATGATAATAGTAACAGTGTAGTAAGCATTTTCTAAAGATATTCGGAGGCAAGTTAATTTGTAAATGAATTAATCAGTAATAATACAACTTTATATATATACAACTTATTCAACTATCGTGATTCGCACAAGCCTTTTTGTGCGATCATTTTTTTTTTTTTTTTTTGCATTGTTGAAGTTAAATAATAGGAATCTTTTTTATTTTCACTGTATTTGCATGAATTAAAACACATTTAAATTAATTATATACAAAGGAAACGGAGATTATAAGGTTTTTTGTAAAATTAAACGATGAGAATTTTGTTCTAGAAAAAAATCAGTGTTTCGATTTTGCCTTTTTATAACGTGGTAACTGAAAATTCTTTTTTGTATACTATGTAAACACATATCAGTATTAGTATTTTGTTAGATCTTTGGAATAATCTCTATTTTTATATTTTCAATTAAATGGCCTTTATTTATTTAAAACTAGCTGACCCGGCAGACTTCGTAGTGCATCAATCTATAAATAAAAGACCTAAACTTTTGTATAAAATAAACTTAAAACAAACGAAAGGAATCCGTGCGATGGGGGACACATCAAAGGAAAAACAAAATTGTTATTTTTATTTCATTTCGAGCATTTTGAAATTTATCTACCTTTTATACCTTCTCTGGTCTGATGGATCTGACTTCCACTAATAATTCAAGACCAATATTAGCCAAATCAGTCCAGCCGTTCTCGAGTTTTAGCGGGACTAACGAACAGCAATTCATTTTTACTAGAGGTCCCGCAGTAGTCGAAATTCGACTATAATTAATTAGAATTGAAAGTTTGTACCCTATTATGATTGTATTTTATACTTCTATAATCACAAATTTCGCCAAGACTACACTATAAAAAATATTAACAAAGACAAACAATATTTAATCTCAATTTGACAAGACGTCAAGAACAAAAGTTTGACAATAAATAGTATGCATGCATGTGTGCGTCAAATACATGGTATGTAGTGTGTGTAATGTTTTCTTTATTGATTTAATGTATCTTTTATGCATTATATTAANCGTGGACGTGTCAAGCTCAGTGATGATCCCCGTCAAGGTCGTCCAAAAACTGCAGTCACCCAAGAAAACGTTGATGCTGTGCGTAAGCTGATTGAGGAAGATCGACATGTGACATACCGCGAAATTCAAGCAACTTTAGACATTGGCATGAGTCAAATACAAATAATCTTGCATGAACAATTAGGTGTAAAAAAGTTGTTTTTCCGATGGATACCGCATTCGCTCTGTGAAGAGCAAAAAGCGGCTCGCGTTACTTGGTGCGTCAGAACTCTCGAAATATTCCACGCAGGATCCTCAAATGCTGTATACAACATTGTATCAGGTGACGAATCCTGGATATATGCGTACGAACCCGAAACAAAAAACCAGTCACGAGTTTGGGTGTTCGAAAATGAGTTAAAGCCAACAAAAATTGTTCGTTCACGGAGTGTTGCAAAAAAAATGGTGGCCACGTTTGTCTCCAAAACCGGCCATGTTACGATTATTCCTCTTGAGGGACAAAGAACGGTTAATGCAGAATGGTATGCTAGCATTTGTTTGCCACAGGTCGTTTCTGAACTCTGTAAAGAGAACTGCAACCGCCGCATCATCCTCCATCACGACAATGCGAGTTCTCACACCGCGCACAGAACAAAAGAGTTTTTAGAGCAAGAAAACATAGAATTATTAGACCATCCGCCGTATAGCCCCGACCTAAGCCCTAATGGTTTCTATACTTTCCCTAAAATAAAGAATAAATTGCGTGGACAGAGATTTTCATCACCTGAAGAAGCTGTGGACGCCTACAAAACGGCCATTTTGGAGACCCCAACTTCCGAATGGAATGGTTGCTTCAATGATTGGTTCCATCGTATGGAAAAATGTGTCAAATTTCGCGGAGAATACTTCGAAAAGCAATAAATACATGTTTAAATAGTAATGTTGTGTCACTTCGTTAATTCCCGAAATTTTCAGTACCGCCTAGGTAATGATGTGTATCAATATTTTGAATAAAATCAAGTACTCAACAATTCTGCTAGAAGTTTTAATTGCGACAAGGCTGGACTCTTTTTTTGTCCCAAGACAAAACGAGTCATCGTATAATGAAGCATCATAGAGGTATTGAGACTCGAATCATGTTGGAGACTCGAGTCTTCAATGATGAAAATGTTTAACTGTATTGATTAATGTTTCCGCTGACCATGAAATCGCACCTCCTGTGGTTTTTACCCCCATAAGCGCATGCCTAAAATCCTTATCCCAACTGTGCCATCAGTATTGATTACGTTTAGATTCTTTTTAAGAGATAATTAAGAGAATTGTGACTTAATAATTAAAGTTATGTTGCTTCATGCAAAAATTAAACTGAAATTAAAATTTTTATATAACAAACCTAATTCTGTTGCTTTAGCGGTCGGTAATAGTCACGGAATAGATTATCTATTCCGTGGTAATAGTTGTTAAAAAACGGTAATAGGAACACACCTCATGCGTTGGATCGCTAATAGAGATATGACCCTTCCCATCAATTTTAATTTTTTACTTTTTTAAATTTTATTTGCTAGTTGTTTCTTTATTGCATTAAAAAAAGTGTTATCTTCGGAACTGTCAAAAAAAATTTCTCGTGTCACAATGTTCGTTCCCATACTCCTCCGAAACAGCTCGACCGATTTTCGTGAATCTTAGCGTGCATATCGGTCAGGGTTGAGAATCGACCAACATCTATTTTTCATCCCCCTAAATGTTAAGGGTGGTCTACCCCTAAATTTTATTTGTTATTTTTTTGACATTTTTTTTGTTTTTATTTTTTTATGATACAGCATACAAAAATACATACAACTCTAAATTTTCACCCCTCTAAGATCAACCCTTATTTTTTATTTCCTAATTAAAAACTTTAAAATTTTTTGCGAGAATTTTGTTTTTATTTTGTCATGACGTAGAATAAAAAAAAATCATATTACTCTGAAATTTTCACTCCTCTACGATCAACCCCTATTTTTTATTTGTTAATTATAAACTTTAATTTTTTTGGTAATTTTTTTATTTTGTTTTGTCATGACTTAAAACAAAAACAAAAAATATATTACTCTCAATTTTCACTCTTATACGATCAACCCCTATTTTTCCATCCCGATTAATATTTTTTTTATTCTATGCACAGATCCGCAATAAGGTTGCAAGATGGCAATCAAATATTATAATTGTAGTACGATAAATACTTATTCAGAGTTTATAATTTCAAGTTCCATTAATTATGATTTTTTTTAAATTCAATTTGAACTACCGCCCTCGCCGGTCGACTACTGATCAACTATCAATCGATCAGTTATCCCCGCAAGGTGTCACCACTCATCCAGCAAATATCACGTAGTAGGGATGAGGACGAAGCCGGTCTCCTGTCTTACTCACTATACATTTTTCAGCCATGTTTTTTTGGTTTTATTTGTGTATCAATAGTATGTTCAGTAGGTCTGAGAATCGGCTACTATCTATTTTTCATACCCCTATTGATTGGGTTGTCCACCCCAAACATTAATTTTTTATTTTTATTTTTTGGATATATTTTTTTTTGTTATAATGAGGTATTATATGGTTGAATGAGGTCTTTTTTCTACACTAGAATTTCCCTAGAAATCTTATTTGAGGCAACACAACGTTTGCCGGGTCAGCTATTAATATTATATAATTAACCATTCATTCATCCATAATTCAACTAATAATTAAAAAATCCATTTATTTTCAATATCGTCCCTAAGAAAATCATTTATGTGATAATAATTTTCACGAATAAGATTACCTTTTTGGCTTTTTCTTAAAATGAAAATCTTCTAGGTCTCTAAATTTCTTTGGTAGTTTATTAAATATCCTAACGCTCATACCTAGTATGCTATTAGTCTTTAATGTAGTTTTGGATTTTGGAAAGCATAGTTTATCGTCGCGACGAGTTCTGTTTGCCACATTAGACATTTTGGTGAATCTATTGGACAAGTTTTAACAAAAGATGCAACTTCATATATATATATACGTACAAGGAAGGGAAAAAAGTTTATGCTTTGCAAAATATGGCTTGCAGCTGTCGGCTATTGCCAAACCAAACACAGACCTTGAACACCTTTTTTGTGCCTTAAAAACTTGATCTTTTTGCGTTGAGTTTCCCCAGAAAATTATTCCATATCTAAGACAGGATTCAACTACACCACGATATGCAGTTAGTAAGGCGTCTGTGCTTAGAATGGAGGATAATTTGAAGAGTGCATAGGCCGAAGAGCCGACACGTTTACACAGTCCGTCTGTATGAGATTTCCAATCTAATTTGTTGTTAATATTTACACTGAGGAAATCTACATTATCTGTTTCGTATATGTGTTTGTTATTATTATAAACGGTCAAATTTATATATTCTTTGGTTAAATTACAAAAATTTTGTTTTGTCTAAATTAATTATTAAATTATTTTTATCAAGCCAAGATATTATTGAATGAAGAGTACTATTCCTATCGTGTTCATATAAAATGTCATTTCTACACCTAATAGTTATGGTGCTGGCGTCTGCAAAAAGGGTCATAGCGTGGTCAATTGAATTTGGAAAATCATTAATGTAAATTATAAATAAAAGAGGTCCAAGTACGCTTCCTTGCGGAACACCGTATGTAATCTTTATTATTTATATTACTTCTAAGTTTATATTACTTATAATGGAAACTACAATTCCAAATATTCTTCTAATGGCAATGTCGTAAATAGTTTATTTAAAGCTAGAAATAAATTCCTGAAGCAGATTGTAGCGAAGTTATCTTGAAGAGTGTAGATAATATTTCTCCAGTGCTCTTGTGTTAAAAATTTGGCACCTGTAAAAAATATTAGCTAAGTTATTCAACTAAGTAAGTGTCATTCGTAGTACAAAACTATCACGCCGTAGAAGTCGAGAGTTGGTCCCAGTAAAAGCCTTGGTTCATATTTTTTAGAAAAGTAACCTTCCATGGTATTCTGAGTGACCTCG